AACATGATTATATTAGTCTACTTAACCTTATATCTGTTTTATGAAACCAAGGAAGGGAATTCTGAAAGTTGAAATATGTAAAAACTGAATAAAAATAATTTTAAAAAAAAGTGATTTAAATCACTGATTTTTATCAAAAAGATCAAGTTGATTTCAATCAAAAAAATCAAGTGATTTAAATCAACCCTGCGAGTACACGAGGACATGAGTACACGAGTACACGAGTACACGAGTACATGAGTACACGAGTACACGAGGACATGAGTACACGAGTACACGAGTACATGAGTACATAAGGATACAGTCTCTTGTACACTAACTAGCTCAAAGGGCGTTGAGTACATGAGTACACGAGTACACGAGTACATGAGTACACGAGTACATAAGGATACAGCCACCCACACGGGGCGCCCGTGGAGAGAGAGGAGACCACGACTGAACATACACTTCCGGCGTGGCTCGAGAAACTTCTGAGTTAGGAGCTTTCACCAATATAATATATTATGTATATATTACTAGCCTGCGTACCCGTTCTATGAGCGGGACAATAATATTTTCTAGACAAAAATTAATGTTGCGATATCAAGAAAAATGTGAGTACTGCAAGCCGTAGTTTCAACAGCTATTTGATGAAAACAGGATGGTTCTAGTATTCTACAGGCCCTACCCGGAAGGAAAAAAATTTCAAAAGTGAAACTCACCAAAGACTGATGTATATCGTCCAAAACCTCTGGATATACAACATTCCTGGTTTGACTGTTGGGTGCCGAGATGTGAACAGCATCTTTATCTCCAGTTCGGGAAATGGCTACATACAACATTCCATGTGAAAATACACGAACTGTGCATGTGAGATCTAGGCCAAGACTGAAGGAAGAGACTGTCCCCGGGCTTTATTAATTGTAATGGCAATGCATGGTCTGAGGGGAAATTATTTCCGTTGGAATATAAAAGGTACATGTAGTCCATTGTCTGTTGGTTGGAGTATAATTCGAGCAATCCAGAGTTTTTCATTCTTGTATGGTCTAGAAAAAAATATTTCAACCTGGATGACGTTTGGCATGGTCTAATAATAATAATAATAATAATAA